TTTACTTTCAGCTATAAAAAATATATAGTAAACTCAAAGTTAGTTATAAATTTAGGCCAAAATGTATTCTGCTACATGTTTTTGGTAAAAAAAAATCCCAATAAGTGTATATTGATTGCTTTGTGTGAAAGTTATAGCGTCTACAAACTATTTACGCCATTTTTTTGCTATACAGCACTGCACTAGTTTAATGGAAAATTGCGCGGTCATGCAATACGATACATAAATGAAATTTGCATCCTTTTTTTCCCACAAATTGAGCTTTCTTTCGGTGGTATTTGATCGCCTGTGCGATTTTTATTTTTTGCGCTATAAAAAAAAAAGACTGACAATTTTGAGAAAAAAAACAATATTTTGGACTTTTTGCTATAAAACATGTCCAGTAAAAAAAATTTAAAAATCAAATTTAGTCATAAATTTCTACCAAAATATATTCCGTGACATATCTTTGCTTAAAAAAATCCCAATACGTGTAAATTAATTGGTTTACGTGAAAGTTATAGCGTCTACAAATGGCAGGAAAGATACTGGGATTTTTTTTTTATTATACTAATAATGGCGGCAATCAGCGACTTATGGCGGTGATCAGCGATTTATGACACTGATCAGCGACTTATGGCGGGACTGCGGGACTGCGGCATTTTGACACTGGGGGGGAACTGACTTGGGGTCACTGACATCCCCAGTGACACCAATACAGTGATCAGTGCAAAAAAAACCCCACTGACACTGTACTAATGGCACTGGGGAGGAAGGGGTTAACTTTTATTAGGTAATGAAAGGGTTAGCTGTGTGAGGGGAGTGTTTTACTAGGGGGCGGGGGTGTGTACTTCACAGGAACATGCTGATCCTGAGAGATAAAGTCTTCTCTCAGGTTCAGTGTGCTCTGAACTGACAGATGGCAGAGCTGCAATGTAAACGCTGCAGCCGTGCTATCTGTCAGTGATTACTTGTAATCGCCGGCACCCGGCGGGAAATGACCCGCCGGGAGCCGGTGATGGACACCCGCTGCCACAATTGGGGGGTTGGGTAGGGCGGGCATGCGCCTCGCGCGCGCCCCCTACCTGTTTTGCACAGCGATGTTAAAAGATGTCGCTGTGCGCACAGGTGCCGCCCTGCCGCAGTAAAAACATTGCGGCGGGTCGGCAAATGGTTAATCAGCGTTTTTTGGCCGGAGCTTTTTCTGGCTGGAAAAAACACCCGGAAATAGTAGATTTCAAGAGGAGTTTTTTAGCTGTAAAAATGCTCTTAACGCTGATAACAGCTGAAACACACCAATAAAAGCTGAAAAACACTAAAAAACGCAGCCATCTGGTGTTTATGAGCATTTCTGAGCCTGAAGGTTTTGTGAGAGTAAACTGCTAAAAAATGCAAATGCTGTAAAACATTAAAAAAACATTGAAAAAAGCTAATGCAAAAAAGCTAAAAAAAAACCCCGTTTTTATTGCGGCATTCTACAGTTAATGCTATTGGCGTTTTTATAATGTCCAGTGTGCATGAGGCCTTAGGCTTTGGAACAGGAGTGTCTAGACATGTCTCAAAGTACACTGCTCTATTCAGGAGGAATTTAAGGTAGAATTGCAGGGCATTTCTTCAAAAAAATAACCTATATTCCCTATGAGATAGCAAATCTTTTCTTAGTTCATTTTACTAGGACACCCAAAGAAATCCATCCTAGAATAATAGAAAAGAGTATGGAAAAAGGTGTTTCTGATTTTAATCTGTCCAACCTCATTGCAACAGTAAACAAGTATTACAATGACCTTATCATTTAGATTTTCCTAAAGCTATCCTACAACTTTAACTGAATTTGAACCATCATGGATATCATCCAGCTGAGACAGCTACATGAGAATTTACTATAGAAAGAAAATATTCTAAGGACTTATTGCCACTGGCAACTGGAGAGCATTAAAAACAGTGCCACCACAAAAATAAACCTGCTGTCATATTTCGTGGGCAAGTAATGCATTGCAGATTGCTTTTCAGAGAGTCTGCAAACTGCTGCTCCTATCTGAATGAGGCTTTAGGGAGATTTTTGATTACAACAATGAAGATATGAGACAGTACATCTTTACAGATTATGGTGAGAGGGGACTAAAGGAATGCATAGCACAGCAAAGCCTTCCTGGAGCAGAGGATAGTCACATGAAAACAAATCTTACCCAAGCCAGGGGCGGACTGTCCATTTGGAAGCTCGGGCACTGCCTGAGGGCCCCGGGTCAGTAGGGGGCCCCATGAGATGCCTCTGGTACCTTTTTCATAAGCTTTTTTGAGTTTGGGCCAGGACACAGGGGCTCCATGATCCCCTATTGCCCAGGGGCCCTATGAGTTGTCAGTCCACCCCTGACCCAAGCTCAACTGCTCTATTCACCACATGGAGACAGGAGATCGGTGAACTGGCTGAGGCGTCCACTCCTCACAGCAAATATCCACAACACAAGTAGCCAGCAACTTGGAAAGCTTCTTAATGGAGATCTTTATTGGTTACATAAATACAGGATCCATAAATCAAATGTGTTTTGGCTTCACAAAGCCTTATTCATAAAATGCTATGAATAAGGATTTGTGAAGCCGAAACGCTTCAGCTTTATGGATCTTGCATTTATGTAACCAATAAAGATCTTCATTAAGAAGCTTTCTGAGGTCCCAGCTACTTGTATAGAGGATATTCACATCTCATTTTACCATAAATTATAGGATTATTCCTCATTTCGGGACAGTGGCCAGAGCCATGAAAATCTTTCCCTTTATGCCCCAACAGATAGATGGACATCCAGAATCACTAGTATATAGTGTAACTATAACCTCATATTATAGAAGGGGGGGATGTGGCCTTTGGGTCTTTTTCTTCTCCCCAGACGGGAGTCTTTCTTTGGGAAAGCAAGTACTTTGGAGGACTGGATTTGGCAGATCTGCAAACTTGAGGATAACTTCTTAACACCAATACTGTACAAAAATAGCACTGTTCTTTTAAGCAGCACTGGAGTCCCCGTGTTGTACCTCCTCAGACCCCATGTGAATCTTTCCTCTTCAACCGGCTGCACTGAGGGTATCCCTGGGCAAGGGATTCTAAGAGCTGGCAATTAAGTAGTCCTGAATGAGAACTAATTGGGTCTTGCAGCTGACCATCCTCTCCCTTTGTCTGGCCCAGGGGGTGTAGAAGTACTCACATCGTCCTGTCCTGTCAGTATAGTGGGTTAGTAGCTGGCTTTCAGGCCTTACGCTGGACTGGCTCCTTCCCTGCTTCACTGGATGTCCTCCCTAATAGACCTTGGGCAGTGGATATCTTTCTTTCCAGAATACAGCCTTTAGGTAGGCTTCCCTCCCTGGGGCCCTCTTCCAGTCTCCACACTCCAGCCTTCTCTCAATCCATCTTCCACCTGACTCCTGCTGCACAGGCTTTGCCACATTTAAGGGTTGTCCTTGGCCACCTTGCCTGGATTCCTGACTGGGGATTGGCCATGTTCCCTCAAAAATGCAGATCTAGTCCCGTAACTCTCTTCTGCACCTCTTCCAGAAAGTTCACAGAGTTTCTGGAAGGGTGGAAAAGCTCCAGAAGCCTTGCCCTGTAGAGCTTCCCAGCCTGTCCTGAGGTGAACTCCCTCTATCTCACTCTCAGGATGACTCATACCAGGCTGCTACCCAGCCTCTAATTTATAAAGCAACAAATCCTAGTCACCTAGTTCATGCAGCCAATCAGCTGCACCTCTGATCAGTGTATTCTGATGGCTGGGAAGTCCCGCTGTCAGAATACAATGACACATGCACATTGAATGTATGATTGGGGAAATTGGTTCAGATTTTTGTTAAGCCACTGACTTAATGAAAAAAACTGAGCCATGTATGACCAGCTTAAAGTGGTAAACCAAAAACCAAAAATGTAATATATTGCAGCTTACCAATCATTAGACGTGGTGGCTGCATCTGTTTTCTTTTCTTAGATTTTTTTCAGTCTATTTACACCTGGTTATCTGGTCAGTAACACACCTCTTGTATTGGAGTACCCCAACCGGATAAAGGAGCACAGGAAGCACATTTGGAGAGCACCATTGTCATTCTGAGGGGAGGGGATTGCTAGGTGTACTGGCAGATTTAAATACATTAACAAATTGAAGCCAAGCTCAATCTAATACTTTATAAGCAGTTACAGCAACAGTGTTTTTCCTTTTGGGATAAAAGTTTTATATACATAAATAAAAACTGATCATTGTAAGCACCTTTGTCAGTGTTAAATGGTTTGACTCATCTCTGTAACTGGCATATTCTGCTGGAAAGATTGCTCTCTTGAAAAACAACAGAATCACTGGCTGCATCACCAGATAAAAAAAAAAGAATGTAAGCCTGAAAGAGAAAACTAATGCAGCTATGACATCTAAAAGTTGGTAAGCTGTAATATAATAATATTACTTTTGACTTTTAAGCAAAAGCTGAGTTGCATGGTAAAAGGAATGTCACAGGGTTTTACGGTTTCTTTTTGAAATTTAAAACCCCTTAAAATGTTTTTATATTTTTATTTTTTGTGTTTGTTATACTTGGTAGTATACTAAGGCTGTTCACATTAGCCTGCACAGTAAAATGCAGCATTTTACCATGTAGGCAGCTGTCAGTGTGAGCTCAGGCAGGGGGTGCTGCAATGTACTTTTCAGTTTTTCTTTTTTTTTTTTTTTCCCTAACTTTAATTAAAGTGTGGTAGTAGTAGCGCAGTGCATTTTGAATAGGGCACAAAGAAAACCTGCATTTATCTAGTGCAGGCCACAGCATAGAATGTGAACGTAATAGACGCCTAAACATATTTCTTGCCTCCATTTTCCAAGACCAGTTGCAAACAAAATATTTATGAGCAAAGCTGTAATGTACTTTTGTCAGTAGCGAAATAACGCTTTGCGTTTTGTGAATGTCTGAGAACTGTTAGCATTTTTGTTCAGAAGCTCAGTAATAGATTTAAATACTCTTGCAATTAAGATTTCTCATACAATTTTTTTTCTCTTTTGTTTTAGGTCTTACAGGGATCTCAGAGCTTATAGAGATTTTTAGTGATGACTGCCATGGACTTATGCAATTGTATGGGAAATCATCACTCACTGATGACAAGACAGGTTTGCAATTAGAAAAAAAAACCAAAACAAAAAAACCCCCCAAAAACTCCCAGCATACAGTCTAATAAGCACAATTAGACACTAACTAGATTCTTAAAAACACAAGCTTCTTGTTTTTTTAACGGTATGAAATGTTTGATCAGATTTGATAAATGTTTGCAGCAAACCTTATTTGTAAACTTGTCCTAATCAAAGTCGAATACAGATCAAAGAACAGCTGCTTTAGAGCGCTACAAAAAATGGAAATCATAAATGATGACATAAAGCACTGATTTTTTTCAGAGAATGTATAAAAGCTCCACTAGGGAAGTGTTATCAGTTCATACACAAACACTCCTACTTTGATCTGCTTTTCTATCCCTCAGAATCTATTTCTATATCTGGTACAGGCTCAAACGATCTAACTAAATGCATCTTTCATTAGTGATTCAGATATCCCTACTAGTTCCATTACTTGTTCTGGTTGTATGTTCCCTTCAAAAAACCAAAATAGTTTCAGCCAAGCCTAAAATAACATATTTATTAAACTCTTATTTTACCTGCCAAGATTTGTTTTTGTCCATCCAGTTTTTGGGGGTTTGTCCTACTATCTTTTGCAATCTGTCGTTTGTTTTGAATTTTTGTGGCTCCGATTTCCTTTTTACATATTCTGTGATATTCCTTGTAACAATTAAATGATTATAGTGCTCTTTCGTTTTTATATTTTTTAAAAGCTCTTTTTTTATTATTTATAACTTTGGTCGTAAGCCACATAGGTTTCATTTTTAGCCTTTTAAACTTATTGCCCATGTTAATATATTTTGCAGTGTGTTCACATACAGTCTTTTAAAAAAATTCCCATTTCTGTTGTGTGTTCATCAATGTCAATATTCCATCCCAGTCTATGTCTTGGAGAGCATCCCTCATCCTTGGAAAGTTTGCTCTCTTAAAGTTGAGCGTTTTTATTTCCAGTATGTGCTTGTTGTTTACAGCTAACATTATATGAAATCATGTTATGGTCACTGCTACACAAATGTTCTTTTATATGAACATTAATAATAAGCTCTGCATGGTTTGAGACCAGATCCAGCAGAGCATTATTTCTAGTTGGGGCCTCTATGAACTGTACCACATAATTGTCTTGGAAGTGATCAAGGTCATTCCAGAGCAGGTTCCTACCACAGAGGTCCAGAGATTTCAGAGTTTTTCACCAGGGGAGAGACATGAGGAAAGGTTAAAGAGGCACCCAGACAACTTTCCTAAGGGCCAGAAAGAAGACTTTGGATATGCCGCAGGATTCTGCTAGGTCCTTTTGACAATCAGAGCAGCCAGCCTCTCGCAGTGGGGGCCAGGCTGGCCAACTTTGTGGAAGTCTGTGTAAGACAATGCAAGGACAAGTGGGTGTTGTCCACTATTACATGTGGCCACCTTTGGATGTTTATGCTTCCTCCTGCAGTCACTTCATGCCCGCAAGAGTTCCAGTTTCCGCCCAGAAGACAAAAATTCCATACTTCAGAAGGCTATTTGTTCAGGGAGCTGTTGTTCCAGTGCTATTCTTGGAAAGGTTTTCTGTGTTCTTCTCAACTCTCTTCCTAGTTGAAGAAAAAAACGGCAGCTGGCGCCCGGTCATAGACCTTAAGGGGCTGAGTCAGTATTTTTTTCTGGTGAGATTCAAGATGGAACCATCACACAAGTAGTGCAACCAGGAGACTGGATCTGCAGGATGCTGTTTGTACCTCTCCAAGGACTTTCACCAAGGTCTTGTGTAATTCCTGGCACCCCTCAGGGAGAGGAGCCTCCGAGTCCATCATTACTTAGACGACGTGCTCCTTTTGGCTCGCAGCAAGGATCAGTTACTCTAAGACGAGCAACTTTTACTGAAGGCATTGCAGTCTTTTGGCTTGATCATAAACTTCAAGAAGAGCCAGTTCTTTCCTTAAACTTACATTAAATGCCATTCATTTTGGTAAATCTTTTAGGGGTCTTTGTATTCTACTCCTACAGCACAGGTTAAAGCCAATGGAGCACTCTCTCAATTGTTAGACATCAATAACGGGACATGTCAGGGCTGTCCCGTCGCCTCCTATTTTTATGCTAACCTCGGAGCCCTTCTTATGTTAAATACGAGAAGATCCTGACATAAATGGAATTGAGGTTGGCCAGTGCTGACACAAGGTCTCTACGTATGCAGATATTTTTTTTTAGTCAACCTGATGAATCAGTACCTAATCTGATGGCTGAGTTCCAGCGCTACAGGGTTCTAATTTCCAGATAAATTTCCAGAAATCTGAGGCACTGAATCTAACTTTACCAGGAGCGATGTTGCAGAGACTTAGGTCTCCAATATTTGGCGACTCAGCTGGCTAATAACTTTTCAAAAATGTACTCCCTAAATTTTGTGCAACTTCTTACCTCCTTCAAAAAAAGACATAGCTGGTTGGCACAAACATACATTCTCTTGGATGGGTAGATGTCATTAAGCAAAATCTTCTCCCTAAACTCCTTTTCTTGTTCCAGATTCTACCAATCTCCATCCCATCTTCCTATCTGAGATCTGTGCAGTCACTCTGGAATACTTTTGTATGGGCTAATAAGCCAGCCCACATTAAGCACACAATTCTTCAACAATGTAAAACAGAGATTGGGAGGGCAATGCCTGACGTGCGACTGTACCAATTGGTGGCGCATTTTACTATGGTCATTGATTTGAATAGACATTCGCAAACCAAGCAATGGGTAGCCATGGAAAATCATACTTCTACACCCCTTTCAGTACTACCATGGTGCCCTTCCTTACCTTCCTTTTCCTTACTTAATCATCCGACCATTGCCCAAAATTGTAAACACTTTGCAAAAGCCTTCACTACTTATGGTCTGTCCCCTTTCCCCTCACCCCTCTAGCCCATTATAGGTGACCCTAAATTTCTCCCAGGACTACAAGATGCAACTTTATCTTTACTGCACTAAAAGGACATGCTCTCTGCTGCACATTTTATCAGTCACTCATGGTGGCTGGATGTCCAACAGATGTCGCAAACACAACCACTATTGCACCTCAACCGATTCCACTTGCTACAACTATCCCACTTTTTGAAATCTTTACTATCCGCGTTGCTTTTTGCCTGCCCCCTGCTGACTTTTGAAAGAGAATGCAAAGCAGAGGCCCAAGCAGGCATGCACTATCTCTCACATACACACTCCTACTAACAGAGTCCTCTTCCACCCCTCTGAAATTCTTCACTCAATGGGAAGGAGAACCTCCAACTCGAACATACACCAGAAGATTGTACAAAAATCTTAACCCTTTTCTACAAATCCACCATTTGTAGTAAATAGCAGGAGACGGGCTGTAAGATAGTGACGCGGTGGTATTGCATGCCTGCTGTGCTTCACTGGATGTATCCATCGGTGACAAATATTTATTGGTGCTGTGGTACAGACGATGGTGACATGCTACATATCTTCTGGTCCTGCCCCTCTGCTTTGGACACTCTATAACACAGAAGTTTACTGATCGCTCTGTCCCCTTCATCCCTGGATTTTTTCTCCTGCACTACTCCAATATCCCACTGAAAGTGTACAGTTGGTCAGTTGTGTGACACCTGGTTAACACAGCTCACTCCTGCATCCCCGCATTATGGAAAACCTCCACAGTGCCCTTTCTAACACTCTGATTTTATAAGATCGAAGAAATAAAGTTGATAGATGTCAGGGCAGGGCTGTGGAACGGACAGGTAGGCCTAGTGGCAGGGTAACGCACTGGCTGACGACAACCACCACCAGCAGACCGAAGTCCCTCAGGGCGCGGAGTCTAAGTCCCAGGCTGCCCTTCACCAGGGCCCCTGATGGTGGGGATGGACTTGACGCAGCCAGGAACCAGGTCGCGGCCCCCGAGACACCCCAGCTGCGGTAATGGCCGCCGCCAATGGCGTGTAGCTGGTGAGAATGACAATAGCGTAGTCAGGCAAGCTGGGTCAACAACAACGGGACAAAACAGTACAGAACAGTAGACAGAGAATCACAGGTCACGGGCCGGGTTCAGCAACGGAAGGTCAGATCGAAGGAAAACACAGAGAATGGTCTAGTCACAAGCCGAGTCAAATACCAGAAGAGTCACGAGCATATACACAGAGCTGTAGCAAGACAAAGACACAAGACACAAGTGCAAAGAGCATGTGCGGATCACAGGCTTATATGTACTCAGCCACACCCCTCTGGGGGATGGACCTCAGAGACCTGAAGGCATAAAAGCTTCCCACCATGCTCAGCATAAATCCAAGATGGATGCCAGCACATGGAGTAACATAACCTCTGGGAAAAGGTAGGACCTTGACAATAGAGAACTTGACAAGTGCTGTGCGGCGTACAAAGGAAAAAAACCCTAAAATGTGGTTTCACTGGATGGTGTACTCCTGCACCACGTAGTTTCAACAAATATACTGATTGTATACTGAGATTTCTGCATAGCTCCCTATTAGGTTCTGGGTGGGCTCAAGGTCTTAACTGCCACTTGGGCAGTAGTGTTATGCCCTGCTCCATATAGACTAGTTATCTCCACTGCTCAAACACATGTGGTTGGGGTTTCTCATACGCAGCTCCAACCAGAGGGGGTGACCTGAACATCCTTTTCCTCTAACCTCAATCCTTCAACCCCCCCTTTTTTTTTCCCTCTTCTAAACTTGGGCCTTCCAACATCCTTCAACTCTGGGGTCTCTGGCATGGGTCAAACAATTCCCATTATAGTGGAGTCTCTGCTAGACATGGTCTTATGCAACTGTTGAATTATGTTTCTCCAAATATGTTCACACACCTTTGTAGGATTATCCATAGACCAAAGACCCAACATTCTAATTTCCTGTATACTTGGAATACCTACAGTAGAAGTATGTTTGACTTCTATTTCTTTTGCATCATATTTTGTATTCAATATATTTTATTATTTTTGTGAACACTTTGTAAAAGGCTAATAAAGACGAAATGCAAAATAATAAGAAGAGCCAGTTACACTCGACCCAGCAGTTAATGTACCTGGGAGCCCTCTTCGATACTGTCAATGCCTCTCTTTCCCTGTCTCTGCAGAAGATGGATTCTATCAGGAAGAAGGTGCACAGAGCAGCTTCCTCTTCATTTCTATCAGCTTCTTAATGCCTGAGCTTGTTAGGCACAACGGGCCCCCATTAGGGCCAGTGAGCTGGGTCATGATTATGATGGACACAAGAGAGAGGGGATGGGTATCCCACTATGGAGATGTCCGCATTCAGGGAAGGTGGAGATTCCAGTCAAGAGGAATGTTTTCCAATGTCCTGTAGGTCAGGGCAGCTCATCTGACTCTATCTACCTGGTCTATCTTTCACCAAAATCAGGGGAAAACTGTTCCTGCTTCAGATGAATAACAAAGCTACGGTGGTCTACATTCAGAGGCGGGGGGTACCCAAAGCCATATGCTGCTGAAAGAAGTCAAGTCAATCATGACATGGGTAAAGTTACTCTCAAAGATCTCAGGACAATCTATCTACCAGGCAGACTGAATATGAAGGCTGACCACTTATCTTTCTGAACCTTTACGAGTGGGCTCTCCACCCACAAGTCTTCCTTCAGCTGACCCATTTGTGGGGCAATCTCTAGATAGATCTGTTCGCATCCTCAAGCAACCACAAACTCCTGAGGTTTCTGTATCGTTTTCCCCACCCCAGAGCAGAAGGAATATCACACTCTAATCACAATGGGATTGCAGCCTGGCATATGCCTTTTCTGACAGCCCTGATGTTGACATTCCTGCCAGGAATCCTAACTGAACAGATCCCAGTAATAGCCATCCTGCCATATTGTCCATGCAGGCCCTGGTTTCTTATAGCTCTTCATCTCAGTGCTCGAACCCCGATTCCCTGGTCCTGCTGGACCTTCTGAATGTGATGTCACAGGGTGACTGTCTGCACCCGAATGAGCGCAAACTTTGTCTTTATGCATGGCTGCTGAGATGGGGAGACTAAAGAGTCTAGGGTGCTCAACAAGGTAATTGCTACCCTACAGGAGTCCAGGAAAAAGTCTACTGTAGGATATGGGACAGATGTGTTACACTTGCGACAGGAAAGGCCTTTCCTCCTACCACTTCTTCTGCTTCCAAAGTCCTGGATTTTCTTCAGTCTGGAATATCTGAAAGAGGACGTTTCCCCAATGGGACCTGTCGGTGCTTTTAGATTTTGTCTGTACGCAACCCTTTGCTCCTACAAAACAGTGCTCACTGTGAAATATTACCTTCAAAACTGTCTTCCTTGTGGCCATTACCTCAAGAAGGAGGATATCAGAATTGCAAGCCTTGGGGGTATCAGAGGCCTATATTACATTTTTCTTGAACAGGGTGGAACTCCAACCAGTGGCTCCATTTGTTCCCAAAGTAGCCATATGCTTTCATCCCTCAGAAGCCTGAGTCTTACCAAATTTCCCAAAGGCACAATCAGGAGCCTTGCAAGAACTGTATATTTCTGAGACTCTAAAGCATTACATTTCAGTCACAGCTTTGTTTTGAGCATTGGACAGGCTATGCATCCTGCCTAGTGGCAAGAACAGGGAGAAGAAAGCATCACTAAGGACTTTAGCTGGATGATTGTGAAACTTCTTCAAAGGGCATACAGGTCAGCAAGTGTCAACCTGCCGGCAGTGGTGACAGCACACTCGCTGAGGGCGTGGTGGTGGCGTCTTGGGCAGCCTTTTCCAACATCTTGATGGAGACCACATGCAGAGCTGCATCTTGGTCTTCACACCACATCTAAAACATGACAGAGTGGACTAGGGGGTCCTGTTTTTGTTTGATTTTGGGAGGAAAGCAATTAAGGCTTCTGGCTTTGTTCAATAAAATTTTACATTTTGGCATCTATCCACACTGTCAGCTAGTTATTTATCATTGGTATGCTGCTATGTGGCACCGGGAAAATGGAAAATTGTATCAAATACTTACTAAAATGTTCCCTTTCTGGCACCAGTCCATGGCAGCATACATACCCACCCTTGGTTTGTAGCTTAATGCAGAGAATGCTGGGGGTATTTGCAGTCTTTCTTTTATGCTATGCCTCGCTGGTCCTGAGGGAGGAGCTAGGAGCGGAGCTCTATCATTGGTATACTGCCATGGATTGGCGAGAGGAAAGGAAAATTACTGCAAGTATTCGCTACAATTTTCAGTTTTTTTGTATTGCTTTTGGAGATTTTCTCTCACTTCTTGTCTGATGAAACAATTGTCACCAGGTCAGTAAGAGAAAGACCCCCTCCATTGATCCCAGAGTAGCAGTAAAAACCTGACCAGGGTGCAATTCCTTCCCCACTCAATATAAGACAAAAAAAAGTTTTGATTGGTCTTAGCCCTCATCTACGAGGGCCTCCTGTGTTCGGTTTCTTTACATGCAGGAGAAATTGATCTGGGATGTATAAACACATACTATACCTACCAGATCAATTTCTCCTGTGTCTAAATATGCATGCGTTTACACGCATTTAGAATATCGAATTTGCCCCTAGACTAACAGATATTTATTTTTTCTAACACAACTAAATAAAATACACCTGCATTTAGGTACACGCTTAGTGTGCGTTGTACCATTTAAAATTATTACATGTACACCTGTGTGAATGAGGCCTTGCACTTTAGGTAGAGTCAAACTGTTTTTTGCAGTTTTATTCTTGTATGTGTTTTTTTTTCTAAAAGGGTTTTTACCTCAAAAACCTGTGCTCTGCAGACTGTTTAATGATTATGTCAACCTAAATATAGTATCCATTTATACATAAAATATATTGTGCAATATTGTAATCTATATAAAACATGTTTTTACATTTTGTAGGAACTGCTAGTACTTTTGAGTTTGATGGTGGAATAACCTATGAACAGCTGCAGGTGAGATAAATTATAAAATTAAGTAATGTTCTGATATGTAATCCAAAGCTATTTGTTCAGTATGCAGCTCCAGAGCTTGTCATAAAAGTTAAATTGACCATAGATGGGCCAGTTTGTTTTGTTTAACCAGCGGGTTAAACAAAAAAAAAAAAACTGACCCGATTCGCTCATCCACAAATTCAAAGTCTATGGGGTAGTCCCCCTTGCGGTGTCATTGTATTCTGACAGTGGGGAGACTCCCCCACCATCAGGTTATAGCCTGCAGCATTGATCGAGAAGACATTTTCCAGCAGGGTGGTTGTACGGAAGTTGATTGGTAGATTGGCTTCTGTACAACCACAGTCACAGTGCCCATACATGGATCGAAATTCAGCCAGTCCCAGCTGAACTGGATGGATTTTAGTCCATCAATGGGAAGCTTTAGAAAATATTTTACAGATCTTCCCATAAAGAGCAACAGAGCTATACATGTGCTGATCTAATTGTTTAATTGCTAAAATATGTTGACTGAATTTAGCAAGTATACTATCAATCAGTTTTTACCATTTTTTGTTCCCTTTTGTCTAATTTCATGGCACTGGGTAGAGGATGAAAATTATTTATTTATTATTTTATTATTTCAATATGTTTCTTATATTGTGTTAAAAAAAATTCTGACTGTGAATGACACTCAGGAGGTTGTTTGTTACCACATCATTTCATTCAAATTTGACTGAATGTACACTAAAGCAGGCCATAGATGACTCATTTTACTTTTTTTGTTCAGCCACCAAGTTGAACGAAAAATTATGGCTCAATTATGGCTGACGCTCCAGTTCCTTATTGTAGCATTCAGTGTGGATTTGCCTGGAACAGTGTTTTCGTTTCTTTTTTTTTTTATTCCATAAAAGTTTATTTAGAAGTGACAACATGTTACAGGAAAATATAAAGAAATGCACACGCAGCATCAATCAGGTCATAGACACAGCTTAAACCAAAATACAGGAAGAAACAACATGGTAGAGTGCGACACTATGGATAACATAAGCATGGCAAATTACGGCAGAGATATGCCTGTAGTACTCAAGATTCAAAAATGTACAATATAGAAGGTAATAACAGCTTACTTCCACCAAGTGAATATTGGCGTACTGGCCTAAGCATGGAGGAAATGAACCTTCAGAGCCTAAACCAAAAGCAGTACACTATCATGAGGCTAAGTGAGCATCGCAGTATAAGAGAAGACGTCGTGAGTACCATTGACTATCCTAGAGGAGATAAGCTAACCATATACCAAGTAATCCTGGATAAAATGAAGATTAAGCCTGATCGAAGACTAAGAGGTTGTCGAGAAAGAAAAGAAAAAAGGGGAATAGAAAGAAAGAAAAGGATAAGAAAAGGAAAAGAATGGGAGTCATAGTAGAAAGAGAGAAGAGAAAGAGGGGGAGAGAAAAAAAAAAAAAAAAAAAAAAAGGGGGGGGAGAGTAGAGTAAGGGGAGAGGGAGAAGGGGGGATAAGAGGCAAAAAAAAAAAAAAAAAAGGGGGAAGCAAGGGAAGCGAAGGGTCCGGGCTGTGAAGTTTGTGTCAACATTGTTATTGGAGATCATAAATGAGAGTGTCAAGAATTTAAACACTCACCAAAGCTAAGCAGGCAAATATAAATTACCGGAAAAGAGGTCATAACCACACAGATTATGAGAGAACCAAGGGCATAACCAGAGGTAGGGCTGAGCTCAATCAGGTATCCCAACCCATGAGAGATCCGAATTCAGGGGTAGTTACAAAGTGGGTCCAGCAGGCCCAAACATGTGAGTATTTAGTTGGCAGATCAAGTGCAGTCGCAATCAGTTCCTCCATTTCCGCCACTTTGCCTACTCGATTGAGCCAATCGCGTATAGTTGGGGGGTGAGTGGAGCCCCATAGCACAGGAAGACAGAGTCTGGCTGCGTTGATCATATGCATCGCTAGGGACTTGAAATATTGACTCCTAGGAATGGGGGTATGATGAAGCAATAGCTGAGCAGCAGAGAAAACTATGGGCAGAGTGGTCACTGAAGTCACCAACCGGTGGACCTCCTGCCAGAATGGTTGAATAAGTGGACAGGACCACCAAATATGCAAGAAAGAGCCATCAGGTGTCCCACATCTCCAGCACACGTCAGGGACAGAAGAGTTAAACCGATGAATTCTGGAGGGAGTACGATACCATCTAGTGGCTAATTTGAAGCCATTTTCCTGCATCGAAACATTACTCGAGCAGGAGTGGGAGTACATAAATGCGGTCCCAATCCGACTCTGATAAATCCGTCTTTAGGTCTCTGTTCCACGCACGGCAAGAGGGGAAAGAAGTGCAAGTCCTGCTGTCCCCTAGGAGAGGATAAATCTCAGAGATCAAATGCTTCCGCGGTTCGGATTGAGAGCATAAGGATTCAAATGGAGTAACAGGGCGAGTCCAATTATGGCGGGATTTATGGAAAAGCAGGAAGTGTCTAATCTGAAAGAAAGGCCCAGAGAGGGAATTCGCGGATATTCAAGCTAACCTTCAGCTCCTGTAATGTTTTCACCTTGCCGGAGTGAAGAAAATGTTTTACTAAAATCTGAGCGTATGGCCAGTAATTTGATAAAAAATCCTTGTGCAACCCTGGGGGAAAATCTGGATTCAGGCGGATCGACGTCAAGGGACTAGGAGAGTCCGAAACGGAAGACGTTTTACAGGCCTTACGGAAAACTTCTAACGTGGGACCTATCAAAGGATGGGAGAGGAGAACTTGAGGTGTGTGTTTCGGCAATAGCCAAGGGATCGATGGTAGGGGAGTGGGCGAAAAAGCCTTCTCCAAAAGGACCCAGTCTTTGGAAGCAGAATGAATGTGCCAATCGACTATGCGGGAAAGATGACACGCCCAGTAATAGCGGTGTAGGTCAGGGAGCCCAATGCCCCCGCTGAGTTTGGGACGAGTCAGCTGAGAGAACGAGACCCGCGGACGCTTGTGATTCCATAAAAATAAGGAACATAGTTTCTTGCAAGAAGCAAAGAATGTCAATGGAAGTTGAATTGGCAAAGTTTGGAAGAGATAAAGGAGACGCGGAAGTATATTCATTTTAATAATGGCAGCCCTACCAAACCAAGAGAAGCAGGGGCGATGCCACTTGTTTAGGTCTTCCTGTATGACTTTGAAAACCGGTAAGAAATTTTTGGCATAAAGGTCGTCCAGATTGCGAGTAAGTTGTACACCAAGATATGGAAGGGCATCCCTCACCCACTGAAATGAAAATGAGACTCACAGAAGGAGACGAGATCAGTGGGAAGGGTTATGTTGAGGGCGTATGACTTTGAAAAATTAATTTTCAAGTTTGACAAAAAGCGGAAAAAAGCAAAGTCTTTCAGCAAACTCGGTAGGGTGGTGCGAGGGTCAGCCAAAAAAAGGAGGATATCATCCGCATAAGCAGCAAGTTTGTATTCTTTGTCTGCTATCCTGATCCCCTTAATATCTGGGTTAGCGCGAATTTGTCTCAGAAGAGGTTCAAGGGAAATGACGAACAGAAGCGGGGATAGGGGGCAACCCTGACGAGTGCCATTTCCCAGGCGGAAAGGGTTCGATAAGTGTCCATTAACCCGAACTTGAGCTGTAGGGCCCGAGTATAGGGTCATAATAAAGTTTATCATTTTCTCGCCCAGGCCCAAAGCCATCAGTGATCTTTCGTTTCTTTTTACATCTGGTTTCGTTCTTGTTGTGTCCTTCTGTGTTACCCGTCATTGAATTATTAATTGTCATTATTGAATGACTCCTTATATTGCTGCTTGCAATTGACCTTGGAATGTTTACTAGACTACACTTGCTTGCAACCTGCCCTGATCCTGGAACTCTCTATCAGATTACACTTGTTCGATGCCTGCCTTCACCTCAGAACTACCCTAAATACTCTAACTTGTCTCATTCTCTTAGTCCTGGTGCCATCTGGCCAGGAACTATAGCACTGTGTTCTAAATCCGAGCGCAAACCAAGTACCAGTAGGCTTGCTTGTCTTAAGGGAATGCTTCAGGGAACAAGGGGCTGCTAAAAGAGGAAAAAACAGCAGCAAGCTATAGTTCCTGATCTAGGCATTACATTTTCACAAAAGATTCCATAATATAAAAATTGGTTAAAAGTGACCAAAAAATGATGAAAAATAACTACTACTGTGTTCTAGATTCTATTGAAAGATTCTACAGTTTATGCCTATCAACCAACAGGCATGTCGCACAAAAAAATAATACTTCAATCAAATATTTACACTTACAGGCGGTGTTCTAAACTACTTTGTTTTTTGTTTTTCTTTTAGAACATTATTGAAGAAATCTTAGAAGACAGTGGTTATTATAATTTAACTTCAAACAGGTATGTGTCATGGAAAAAAAAAATCAAAGCATTGTTATCAATTTTAGAGGCCAATACAAAAAAAAAAAAGTTTTTGAAAACTATGTATAACCACTTCTTGACCAGCGACATACCCGTAACGTCACTAGACTTTCGATGGTTGAACCGGAGTGATGCAGCTGCACTCATCAACCCAGTACCGTGTTTTAGAGCCGATGGTCGACTCTGTTGTACAAGCAATCGGAGCGGGTAACTAGCATCCCAAACTCACACCACCTTCCCCGGCTCTCTCAGGATCTCCCGTCCCACCGAGAATCCAGAGTGACCAGCCAGTACATCTGCCAGCTGGCTGGACAGCCGAACAAAGTCGGAATGTAAACTGGAAGCGATGACCTGACATCACTTTTACTCTGAAACTTTCTTTTTAAAAATCTGAAAGCATTCAAAAACACCAATCTTCAAGAGGAGGGATTTGAGGACCCCAGATCCCTCCATAGAAAATGTCTATTGCTGTCACAGGGGATGTTTGTATTCCTTGCAAGAGCAATAAAATTAAAAAAAAATGTAGGTGACACTGTAAAAATTAAAAAAGAATGAAAGTGCCCCCACCCCCATGCTTGCGCGCAAAGGCGAACGCACGTGTCAGTCCTACACACACACAATTGTCTCCCCAATTGTCAGATCATAGGCAGTAATTCTAGCACTAGACCTCCTCTGTAAATCTAAAGTGGTAATCTGTAAAGACTTTTAAAGCGTTGCCTATTTTAAAGCCCCATGAAAAGACAAAAACCTGGTAGGTGGTTGAGGAGGGTTATTCTAGGTAAGGCAGATTGTGAGCAATTCTAACTGAACAGTCCAAAATGAAACCCCATCTCTGAAAAAAGAACAGATCAACTATTTAAGGGTATGTGCACATTTTATTGATGAGCATAACCTGCTTCTGTTCTGAATATAATAAGAACATGTTTTTCTTACTTCCAAAAAAACAAGAGCCATGGGAATTCTGTGTGAAAAAAAATCAGAATTCCTCATAAGGCATAAGTGTTATGTAATTGTAAAAGGGATATTTAATAATATCCTTTTAAAGTGGTAGTAAACTCTTTCATGCTAGTACAGGTAAGATTATTTTAAAGCTTATATTAAAGCTTACCTGTAGGTAAAAATGAATTTCTCCTACATGTACACCGTTTGGGAGATATTCCAGTGGCCAGTGGCATCAACGGTCCATGCGCCATGATACTCATGGCCAGAGCCAAACCCGAAAGGAAAACTGGGTGAAGATGAAAGCCCTGTCAGCACCACTGGAGGGCTTCGTTCTAAGGTAAGTCTTTCATAATGTGCTAGTATGCAATGCATACTAGCACATTACGATAATACATTGCTGGGAGAATTTTTTTTTTTTTTTGCATATGGAAAGTTTACTACAGCTATAAGACTCTATATATGATTATGCCCAAAAGTAATCCTGCATTCAATTTAAAACTGTTACTTCACTGGCAGATAAGTAACTCAGGCACTTAAAGAGAAGTTAAACTCTGGAAGCTGTGCCACAAAAAATGGTAAGCAGAGGGCACAGGACTAGTCCCATGGTTTCCGTGCAGTGGATCTATCCCCATTAAACTTATCATGCTTTGTTCTACACTGTGTTTCTGTGTGGAGGTGGCCATCATGGTAGAAACGGGACTTGGCTTCCTTATGCCAGTGCCTCCAGCACATAGGAGAGTGAGCAGCATAGTAGCTACATCACCAAATGACACTCAGGATCTAGGTTAGCATTCAAAGTCAGCAGGAAGGAAACCAAAATGCTCCATTCAAGCCACAGACAAAACTTGTAGCAATTTATTTTCCCACAACATTCAAAGCAAACACACAAAAAAGGCGTTGTCTGGAGTTGCTTTTCATTTAGAGCAGCCTTTCTCAAACAAGGTTTGTGGACCCCTAGTGTTCCTCAAAATGTTGCTATGGGTTCCTTGAGCAATGCCTCTATTAGGTAACTCACCATTAGTGATGGGCTGAACACCCCCATTTGGTTCAATGGTCAAACATTCAAACCTACTGAAAGGCCTTGAACAGGGACAATTTACTGAGCGGTATCTTACCACATCGGTGTATGTTATAGTACTAAGTCATTCAGTATTTTAATAGTGAAACATTCATTCATGTTTCAGCTGTCAGTGGGTTTTTATTTTAAAACAGTGTGGGGTCCCCCATCCCATCCATACCAAGCCCTCTGGGTCTGGTATGGATATTGAGGGGAACTCTCCACGCCAACATTTTTAAACAAATAGCGTGGGGATCTCCCCCAAAATCCATACCAGACCCTTATCTGAGCATGAAGCCTGGCAGGTCAGGAAAGGGGAGGGACGAGCGAGCACCCCCCCCCCCCCGAACCATACCAGGCCACATACTCTTAACATGGGGGGTTCTTTACCACTACCCGTTCGCAAAAAAAAGTGCAGTGTAAAAAAAGACAGGAAACAGTCTTTGACAAGTCCTTTATTAAAAATAAAAATTTTAAAAATGTCCCCCGAAATAGATCCAACATCAATCACGATTTCCAGCGCCGCCCTGGATGCTGGCTCCTGCCGTCTGACAGCTGTACAACAATGACAGTTCTTAAATAGAGTGATGACATCACAAGGGGGCAAGATCATCCCCGCCACTTGTGATGTCATCATGCATTGTCATTGGCCAAAGCATTGCACCTGATCTGTGGTTAGGTGCAATGCTTTGGCCAATCACAATGCAATGTCAGGGTGCAGTGCATTGTGGGTCGCATCAGGCAAACAGCCCGCCAAACACCCGTACCATTCGTGTGTTCACCGAACACATGAATGGCCCATTTTCGAGTCGAACTTACATTCTTACAAACTTACGCAGCCCAACACTAGTAACCATTGACACTAATAATCTCTTTATTTATCTGTTAGACAGTCATTCCCAATCACTGCCTTTGCTTGAAAAGTGAAACTAAACTGAGCAATAGAGTGAAAAAACAGGGTGTGTCTAGTAAGTGAATGTACAGTACTAACTAGACACAAAACAAAAGAGGGGGAACAAGGGATCATACTGTACCAAGTATAATAAACATGCAGAAGAAAAGCTGTTGTGGCAGCACAAGGCTAGAAATGGACTAAGAGAGGTGGATGGATCCAAGCAAGACACAATATGCAAATTAAACTTTTAAGTAAAGTTTTAATTAATTTTTGTAATTATTTTTTTTATAAAAATAGATATGAAAAGCAGATAAATTCCATAATGTATAATATGCAAATTAATAATGTTAACCCCAGGCAAACAGCTAAATATGCAATGTAGTGAAATGATGTAGCACCAGTAAAATATAACAAAAACATGCAAAAAAGATAAATAAACAGTGTTCAATGTGCCAAATGTGAAGTCTTTCTTAAACCAAAGTCCATATATATAAAAAAACAGACTGTCACTCATCCTCACGTTTGAACTTGGGAAATCCACTCATGAACTTATCCATGCTTGGCGATATATAGCCATGTGCGTTATGCACCATTTTGCACATATATAAGCATATTTCTCAAATTCGAAGTAATATACATGCGTTTGGTATTTTGTTTGTTTTATATCATATAGGAGCGCTGCATGCTTGTTTTATATATTGATGTCATCCTAAGAGGTTTTTTGAGGTTTTACCCTTTTATGCTAAGCTGCTCCACTATATAGATCTAGCGCTCGTTTTTCTTAGATATGTCAAAGTCCATATATATTGAAATAAAAGATTTTTCACCATCCAGTACATCTATATAGTGTAACGAAAACACTTGAGTGCCACCACCTTAATCAAATGCAGACTCACCAGACCATAAGCTGTAATAAGTACACCAGATGCAACATGTTTCTCAGGCACAAATCCTCCCCAGGTGTATGCACTTCCACTCTGGAGTTACAGGCAACAGCAAAAGGCAACCCCCGCTGGATCAGAGATAGCTCACCATGGAGCCAACAGAAAACCAGTGATAATGTAATAGTTTAAATAAAGGTTTGTTGTAGAACAAAGCCAGTCATCCAGCTAAAACAATGTGACAACAAAAAAAAAACAGTAAAGCTCACTAGGAAAGTTGCTGACAACCCAGAATCGCTCAGCAGCATGACGTCAGCACTGAGACTTTGTCTTGATTAATTTCATCCAAACGGACATTCTTCTTGGAACCGCTAAATAGACAATTGTAATACATACATGGGAGCTGTTTAACTAGCAAATAGGTTTGTATTTCTATCCACCTGTAGCACTTACCCCTGAAGGGGCTCCTGGTAATAGACAGGTTCTCCCAAAGTAGTACAGAGGCTGCCAATCACATGCACACCAACAATTCAGGCTCAGTCTAGGGGATGTTGTTTTAGTATTTATTGCGGAAGAACTTCAACAGGAGAGGGGTCTATGATCACAGGATACTCCAAAATGATCAGTGACAACGATAAGAGGACAAACGTCTCTTCAAATCTTCAAATAGCTTTTCTGGAGGTAACAGGGAATGGCCAGTATATCTAGAACCCTACAGCAGAAAGCCATATAGCAACCTCTGGCACTCAATTCCCTTCTGGCACTTGCATAGCTAATAGTCCTCAGCAAGGTCTTCATTTACAGTATCCCAGGAGCTGTCTGCCACCCAGCATTAACAGGTAGATCCTCAGTGAGGAAGATAACAAGATCCTTCTCTAGACCAGGACTTAAAGACAGTGCCCTCTAGCAAAAATAATCCTTTGCCAATCTTCTCCAGGCGCTCAGCCCATCATCTGCTGCAGCCCAGCCCGCAATGTCTTGTCTCACAACAGCCCCAGGAGGACTGGAACCCATCCTGACAAGGAAAGAACACTCTGGCAAGGCTTCCTAAACATTTTTCACCTCCCCAGTCACTTTTTGCACACTTTCTTCCATGGGTTGACTGGGGCTTGATAAATATTCACATTGATCATTTGAATCTCCCTGCCCTATACTCTGGAAACTTCTTTCAAATGCAGGTGGGAGGAATCAAACTCTCAACTCAGGAAATCCTGAACAGCCCCAAACAATTGATCCTTGCTCTGCATAACAGCCTAACCAAAGAAGGGCTGTACACACCCAATCCTAAAGCTGGCCATAGATGAATCGACATTCAGCTGGTTCAGCAGGAACCATTTGAATTTTGAACCATGTGTGGCTGCTCCTGTTCAATAGAAGTCAATCTAAACAAGTCGAACAGGAATGCTGAAAAATGATTTTCAGTCAGCAGTTGCAGCCAACGGCCATTGTATTCTGACAGTGGATAAGTCCTGTTGTCAGAATATAATGGTACGGCAGATTCTCAGATTCTTCCATCCACCTCACTTGAGTGGATGGGGAAATCCATTTTTTTTTTTTTTTTTTTCAATCAGCTAGCAGCAAAAAAAAAAAAAATAATAACACAGCTAGGTCACCACCCTGCACTTAGCCTGTGATTAGACAATGAAGGAGTAGCAACAGACTTATGAGGCCATATTTCTGGTCTCTAATTCTTCGTCAGCACATGTACATGCTGCCCTCTATTTATCACACTGAGTGCAGCTGTACAGTGTCTGAATCAATTCAAATTCAGGTACTTACACTAGTTGCATTTAGAAATACTTATAATGATTTTTAAAACTATACTGTACATACATGTTCATCAGTGATTTTGTTGTATTTACTTGGAGTTAATCTTTAAAGATGGCCTGTATAACAACTGTGTGAGTTTTTGAACCCCATTCACAGCTGCATATGTATAATAATGTTCCCTAGCAGGATGTCCTGTGTTGACTAATGATAAGTTAATATACATTCTCCCCTTTGAGAACCAGCAGCCAACATTGTTGGCTTTTAATCCTGGCTGTCAATGACAGCTGAGGTCCCTAATGACTATCAGAAACCAATCAGATTGGTTGCCTGACATACGTAGTGATCACTTGTAGGCTGAAGACACTGTTGGCAAAAAAAAGGTATTTTGTTTGCAGTGTATCTGTCAGATACAGTTGCATTTTTAAAAATTAAGAATTACAGTTATACATGTCAAATTAAAAGAACATTTGTCTGCCTACTATAAAAAATACAGGGCTGTTTTTTTTTATTAAAAATAGTATACCATATAATATTCTTTATATGTTTTCATATAGAGTTCTTCTTAAGTTAATTGACCCATGCAGATGATGCTAAATTTGGCCGGGGCATATAGGCATCATTGCTTTCTGGACATGAAAGGGTTAAACAGACCAACTGCAAAATATACAGGAATCTTGACTGAGTGCCGCAAAAACAAACCAATGCTAAGAAAACAGATTTCTGTCCTACAAAATCAGGTTTTAAATTCCGCCTGTCATTTTGATTAAAAGCATTATTCAGAATCAACTTTAAAAACTGATGTGGTATTGTATCTGTTTTTTGGGGGGTTTTTTTATGCTGACGCCACATCTAAAAGACTAGGCATGAAGTATAATTCCCATCTTTTGAAAAAATTATTGTAAAGAATCCCTGAAATATTGTTGATTACATAATAGTAATTTCTTTCAAAGGATTTTTGAACTAGATTATCATTTTCAGTATGTCATGGAAATATAGCTGGTAGTAAACACTTTTGAAAAGATATAGCTTTCTTAATTAATCAACCCAGCCAATATAGATAGCTTACATTAGACAGAGGTCATTGCAAACTTAGTTCTGCCATCTAAGAGCAGTTTCACTATTGAACGAATGTTGGCTTATCCTGTTTACAAAGACACTTAATTATATTTGGATGTTATCATATCTGTGTTTTTCTAGATACTGCTCATTCCCAGTGGGGGACAAGAACATTTGAACAATAAAAATATGGCTTCCACCTTCAAAAAGAGCCTTGTGACTGCATTTCCCCTCCAACTGATACAATTGGTATACTAAAGCTGCTTAACCTAGAAGAAGATAATGTGGACCGATAGCAATCCCACAGAAGAATCTTCTGAAGACTTGGATGTGACTGTATTATTGGACGAGCTGTGCTTGTTTCAAGTTGCTTTGCCTAAAAATGCTATATAAATCAAATACTTTATCTTTTATATAAAGACTGTCTATGTCTCAGTTTCTATCTGGTAGAAGAGTGTATATAAGTGCTTTCAACAAATGTAATGCACAGAGTAATGGCACAAATAAAGCTGCATTATTTTGACTGAGACCTTGCATTATATATATTTGTGCTACTTGAGCATATGGAACTTTTGTGATGGCAACTTACAGTAGGTTAAATAAGCAAAAAAATATTTAGGTCCTCCTCACATACACCAACATCCTTCAGGCCAGAGATGTGGGGATAGAGCTCACCATTCCCAGCAAGGTGTGCTTTATGTGAGTTTTAGGCTCCATGCACACTGGGCGTTTTAATAACGCTGGTAACGTTAGCTGTGTAATGTCACGTTAAATATGCAGAGTTTTGCCGCATTTTTTTGCGTTTGCAATTTTTAGGTTTTTTGTGGTAAAAAAAAGTCCAAAAATGCTGGTTTGCTGTGATTTACCATGTTTTGCCACGTTTTTCAGCGTCAGAGCATTTTTACAGCTAAAAAAAATCCTCTAGAAACCCACTAGTTCTGGGGGGTTTTTTCAGCCAAAAAACACCCCTACCAAAAAATGTTGATTACAGTCTATGTGTGCATGGACACATAGGATGACATGCTGGGGGGGTTTACTGGCTGTAGAAAAAAACAATCAAAAGCCAAAAACAGCAGCTATAAAAACGTCCAATGTGCATGAGGACTTACGTGTGGTCAGGGGCAGACTGATAACCCATGGGGCCCTGGGCAATAAGGAGACCAGGGGGCTTCCTGTGTCCCCGCCCATGCTAATGCCACAGCCACACAAAGCCCCACCTACCTACTGGTGGCTGATTGGCATGGAACACAGAAGCAAGTGGAGATCACTGGAGTATTGTTGTCTACTTCAGATTTCCAGCTTCTGGGGCATTAGCTGGGTATGGTATATACAGTTACATTGGTCCAAACTAGACCAATGTAACTATTGCTAAGATATCTATACCTGGAATTCTTCTCTAATTCTGTAATGATCTATGCAGGTCAGCACAGCTTAATGGATATAGTGTGAATGAAAAGAAGGTACAGAAAAATGTAATAGTAATGTGTGTGGTCAGGGAAAGAATGAAAGGAGAGAAACACAAGGGTAGGGCTAGGAGATCATCCACACATCATGTACATGGACCACAGATGAGCCTCCTCCATCCATGTCCTGCATTGTAATCGGGCATTTTATGAAGTCAGTTGGCCTGTGTGCAAGATCATTGTTGCAGTGTGCTTAGTGCACCATAGTGAAGAGTGGGCATGGTTTTCAATGTGATAGGGGTGCTGCTAGGATTGTAAACGACCTGGAGCACCTTTGGACACATGGAGCTGAAGAGAAATGCAGAGCCAAGTATCACAGAAAAAATGACTTTAAAGTGCAACTAAAGGCAAAACTTTATTTTTCATTTTGGATAGAGTAATGGATGGTTAGAGCTCCTGTTATTTGTTATGACTAATAGGTAAAATGGTTTACTGTAGAAATATGCCAACTCACTACGTCAGTATGGTTCCTGCAGCATATGTATTAATACAAAAGAAAATTGGTGACTGGAATACCAGTCAAAGGGAAGCTGCTTTCACTGGAGACTGGTTACATTAAAGTACAAAATAACTTTATAAATGTCAAATATTGAAAGAAAATAGTATAAAATAAATCACACACAATCTGTATATACACTGCTCAAAAAAATTAAAGGAACATTTTGAAAACACATCAGATCGCAATGGGAAAAATATCATGCTGGATATCTATACTGATATGGACTTGGTAATGTGTTAGGACCGTTAGGATGCCCTATCTTTTGAAGTAAATGAAAATTATCAACCTATAGAGGACATAATTCAAAGACACCCCAAAAATCAAAGTGAAAAAATTATGCAGCAGGCTAGTCCATTTTGCTGAAATTTCATTGCAGCAACTCAAAATAGTACTCAGTAGTTTGTATTGCCCCCACGTGTATGGCATGCCTGCCAACTTCTGGGCATGCTTCTAATGAGACATCGGATGGTGTCCTGGGATATTTCCTCCCCAATCTGGACCAGGGCATCACTGAGCTTCTGGACAGTCTGAGGTGCAACCTGGCGGCGTTGGATGGACCGAAACATGATATCCCAGAGGTGTAATATTGGATTTAGGTCACGGGGGGCCATTCAGTGGTATCAATTTCTTCATTCTCCAGGAACTGCCTGCATTCTCTAGCCACATTAGGCCGGGCATTGTCGTGCACCAGCAGGAACCCAGGACCCACTGCACCAGAGTAGAGTTTGACAATGGGTCCAAGGAATTCATCCTGATACCTAATGGCAGTCAGGATGCCATTGTCTAGCCTGTGCATCCCTCCATGGATATGCCTCCCCAGACCATCACTGACCCACCACCAAAACGGTCATGCTGAGCTATGTTTACAGGCAGCATAATGTTCTCCATGGTCTCTCCAGACCCTTTCACGTTTGTCATATATGCTCAGGGCGAACTTGCTTTTATATGTGAAAAGTAGAGGGCTCCAGCGGCGGACCTGACAATTCTGGTGTTCAATGGCAAATGCCAGTCGAGTTCTATGGTGGTGGGCAGTGAGCACAGGGCCCACTAGAGGATGTCCTGCCCTCAGGCCACCCTCATGAAGTCTGTTTCTGATTGTTTGGTCAGAGACATTCACAATAGTGGCCTGCTGGAGGTCATTTTGTAGGGCTCTGGCAGTGCTCATCCTGTTCCTCCTTGCACAAAGGAGCAGATACCGGTCCTGCTGATGGGTTAAGGACCTTCTACGGCCCTATCCAGCTCTCCTAGAGTAACTGCCTGTCTCCTGGAATCACCTCCATGCTCTTGAGACTGTGCTGGGATACACAGCAAACCTTCTGGCAATGGCATATATTGATGTGCCGTCCTGGAGGAGTTGGACTGCCTGTGCAACCACCTGTAAAACCATTTCTGTTTTGGGGGTTGTCTCATTGTTGCCTGTTGTTAATTTCATTAACAAAAGCAGCTGGCACTGATTAACAACCCCCTGTGCTACTTAACTGAACAAGTAAAAATCCCAGGAGTTTAGTTGACTTGATGCTATACTCTAATTAAAAACTGTTCCTTTAATTTGTTTGAGCAGTGTATATAAATACCCATCTGTGATGAACGCGGTGCCCGACCCCTGCCCTTCTCACCAACTCATGACAAAGGACCAGCCAATCTCACACCACACTGTCACCTGAGTAACAAATGCCACTCTCAGCTGCACCCTGCACAAAGATTTTCCAGCTTGTGGGACAACAATCTATGTGCCAGCAGCCTGAGAGCGATCGTCACAGGGTTCATTAATTACACAATTAACCCTTGAAACTCCAAACTGCCAACAGATAGCTTTGGGCCTATCAACCCTTCACAATGTTAGCAAGAACAAATGTGAACAATAAACGGCTGTAACACACACTGTCACCACAGACAAGTACAATCACAGGATTATTATATACAGTAGCACTCTTCAAGAGACAGGGAATCTTTAGTTTGCATTCAAAACTTTAGAGACAGTTTCAACACATTTCAAAATAGGGTTTATTACTAAAAAGGTGAAAATGGTGCATTTAAAATATTTACAGAAAAGGATGTTACAAAGAAATAAAGAGAACAATAACGCAACAGAGAGATAAAAGAAAGGAGTTAAGAAGGCAGAATACTTGCAAAGTCCTGGATTTAGCAGAGTCCAATTGTCCGAGCAAAAATGTTGAAATGGCTCTCCGTCCATTAAGATATTTCTTTGGTTGATGTTAAACGAGAGCTCAATCTTAACAAGTCCTGTCATCTTCTTTTCTATGATATCAAGGGGGTATGGACAGAGACCAACTGACCTATAATCCGGTTTAAGGGATGGGTGCTAGGAGGTTGCCAAATTTAGGCCCAATTCCCAAATTCATAGTTTTACACTAATTTTAATAACCTCCAATATGTGCCGGTGGTATTCTAGCAACTGGCAGATTAATATTCAGAATTATATTTTGAACCCAGGGATACCAAACACAGCGTACCTTTGTTACCCAGGAGGGAAGAGACTGCTTTCTCCCCTTTCCTATGTGCTAACACACACACTATATTGCCAAAAGTATTGGGACGCCTGCCTTTACATGCACATGAACTTTAACCGCCTCCCGCCCGCCATATAAGGTAATGACGGGAGGGCGGTGGTTTCTCTCGTTCTGGGAGGATGTCATATGACGTCCTCCCACTCTAATTGCGCCTGCGCACCCACTAAAAAAAAACATGGCTGTAGTTCTAACCATTCCAATAAAAAACCTTTGGCTTTAGTTGTACTTTAAAATGTTGTGCTACTCATTTTGAGCTGGTCCACTTGTCTTTTAAATGTACTGTATCATCTTTTTGGGTAAATTATTGCACATAAAATATAAGGGGTTAGCCTCACTCACTCAGAATGGCAGTGACATACACACATTAACATGTGCTTATTGGACATTTCTGAATGCAAAAAAATACATGTAGTGATTTTAAATGGTATAATTCCCACTGTGCATTTATTTGCATTTAGATGCATTCTGGTTTGTTGCATTTAGATAAAATAGAAATCCGTTCATTCAGGGGCAGATCACACACTCTGAACCTGTCTAAACACATATAAATACAGGTACATTTATATGCAGGAGAAAGTGATCCGGGAAGTATAACGTTTGTTTAGACTTCCCAGATCAATTTCTTTGCATTTAAATAAAACAAACTTAGGAGTCTAGTGTTAATCTAAGCCTTAGGTTTATTGCT